GCGAGTAATCACCCCGCAATGCGCAACGCGCGGTGACGTCACGAGCGGAGCCGAAGAGAGCCGAGCGGAGCCGAAGATAGCCGAGCCCCGTAACCTGGCAACTACGCAATGCTAATCAACAGCGGTGACGTCACGCTAGCAACAGCGTCCTATGCTATCCGCCACGTCACACTAGCAACAGCGCAAGGCTATATAAGCGGACCCACAGCAGTGTGATGATCAGTTGAAACATAGCAGCCTGCGAGTGTGCGATAACTAAGAAGTCAGCGAGCGGAAGACTTATTGGGTGCTTTCCAGACATAGTGATTGCTGTAGTACGGTTATACTCAGAGTGTGTATTTCAGGGAGACTTGTATAGCTCCCGCGTTATCAGTACGTGAAGACAAGTGAAGACGGTGTTAAGAGATTTTGTTGTAGGGTTTGTAAACTGTGGAAACCCGTAACGTTGTGATAATTAAGTGTGGCCGATAGTTGTAGATTGTTCAATAAACCAGTTAACGATCTCTACGGCGTATTCAGTAACGGAAACACGTTACAATAATTACAAATTCAATATTAAGAGTTAAGATCAGGGAACAAAAGTAAAACATTTTTTCCTTGCTTCTGTGCCATATACAATGAATCAGCTGTCTATTACAATCTTAATATATTGATGATGGTGGTGATGGTGGTAGTGGCGATAATGATATAAAAATTATAATAACATTTAAGATATTATTTGATTACTCTCACAATCTTGAGCTACTTTCCCTTTATGTATGTCCCCAACAAATCCAATACCTAAATTATTTTACATCTCCAAAGACTGGAGTTCTGTATGTATTCTGGAAACATTTCCATTACGATGTTTTTTCTACACCTGTCAGAAATGTGTAAGGCATAGGCATAAGTACTGAGTACATGGAACAGCACTGGCGATTAAAATGAAAATTACTACTTTCTTAACATTCACTAAATCAAACTCACTGCAGACTTAAGTTCATATGCTTTCAAGCAATGCAGTAAGAAATGAAGCAACAATCACAAACAATTCATTGACTGGTTATTACAGCAGAGTCCTCTGAATAGTTCTGCAATGATCACAATGACAGGAGACAAGTCAAAACAAAACTGATAACTATTTATCAGAACTTACTCTGCTTGTATTAGTAAATCTGCACCTTGTGAATACAGTTAAACTTGCTCAAAATAAATTTTACCTGCACTGTTGTCTATTTCATGTCTCTCTCTTGGCTTCAACTTGCTTGCATCATAAAGACGAAATTCAATGTCAGGTACCAACTGCACAGCCCTGCGGTAAAAGTGTATAGCTTCATCTAGCTTTCCATTCTGTTCATTCTCAACACCTTTCAAGAATAACATTTTTGCCTGCAACAATAAATTAAAGCAAAGTTAATTTATCCCCGCAATTTGCAAAAAAGAGCCAGGATAGTGCAGTTGGTATAGCGACTGGCTGCAGGCTTGATGACCAATGGATTGGAGTTTCAGTCCCAGTGGGACATGAACTTTCATTTCTCCACATTGTCCAGACCAGCTCTGGGGGCCACCCTATCCTATCCAATGGGTACTGGGGGCTCTTTCCCTGGGGTGTGAAGGTGACCACTCACTTCCAGCTAGGACTGAAGTCAAGAAAACGTTGGTTTATACATCCAATAACCCATACATCTTCATGGTGTAATACTTAATTAGTTAAGCACAAGGACAACTTTACCCTTACCTTACCTTTACCACAGTTTGCATAATATGCAGCCCAAGCATAACCACTCTTCCCCTCTTTTCAGAAAGTGTCTAACCCGAACCATGTTTGGTCAGCCAGATCCACAGATTTCACTGGCATACCTAGATTAAGATTGGAATTATTAGTGGTAAGGGCTCTAAAGACTCCTTCAGCATCTTTGCCACTGATCAGTTCTATGGACTGACTTGTATTTGTGTTTGGAATTGAGGAGCAGTTAAGAACAGATGGGTGGAAATATATTACCATAGTAGAAATAAATGTATTTCTGGGCCTTGTGTTTCACGTGAGTACAATCAAAATGTAACATCTCCAAGATTGCTTGAACATCAACACAATGTTCAAAATAAGAGTGTTTCTCTTCGCACATCAGTATGAATTATTTTCCTCTCCTTCTCTGATGCCTCCATTTCACTGGAGAACCAGTTTCTCTTGACAGATTAGTGAAGACAACACCTCTATTAGACATGTTCAACAATACCAATTACAGTGTTCATTACCCAGGAAAGGAACTTCTAGTGGATGAATCAATGCTCTTGTGAAAAAGATGACTAGTTTTCAGACAGTACATCAAACATTAGGGGCATAAAAATGGCATAAAGTTGCCAGAGCCCAAAGGAATGATTCTTCAGGCTTTAGTGTACACAGGGCAACCAGATAATCTATGCGGTGAGGGGCATGCTGCAATGTAATTAAAAAGCAAATGGATGAAAAGATAAATTCCAGGTACAAGCTATACATGGACATGACAGTTATTATTTTGGCATTACAGCTTCTACATGCTACTGTCTACAGCATTAAATCACTACAAGGTTTGCTCAAAAAGTTCCTGAAATGAAAACGCAGAGCAGCAGTGCATTGGCCACATCAGGTATTCTTTTTATGACTTTGCAACCTGACCATTAGATATACAAGATATTTTGTTCCAAGCAGACCAGCTGTTCTGTTTAGTTTTTATATCCAGTTTTGAGACTGAGTGTGTTGTTGCCTTGCTGTGTTCAGTATGGAGTCAGTAAAGGAGCAAAGAACTTGTGTTATATTCTGTTTCAAAGTAGGGAAACCAGATGCAGAAACCCATAATGTGTTGTGTGAAGGTTATGGTGATGATGTTTTGAGTAAAATGATGACTTGTGAATGGTTCAAACATTTTAAAAATGGAAGAACTTTAATGGATGACAATAAACGGTCTTTCTGACCTTCAACTTCAAGATTCAAACCTCAAATTGCCCAGATGAAAAACATTACCTATGGAAATCGTCGAATGACTGTCTGAGAAGTTGCAGAATAGGTTGGAATATCCAATGGTTTATGTCACACAATTTTAAGGGAAGTTTTAGGAATGCATTGGGTCCCAGAAAAATTTGTGCCTCTCCAACAATCCTCACACTGAAAGAGTCCTGCTTTGTCTCATCCCAAGAGTGAAAGAAATGTTATTTGTTCTTTTTTTGATCGTTGAGGCACTGTGCATTATGAATTCACTCCTATGGTCAAACAGTTAATCACGATTCTTATCAGGTGGTTCTGAAAAGTCTGCAGGTTGTGGTACAAAGAAAGTCACCTGAAATGTGGATTGCAGAAAGCTGGCTCCTCCATTATGATAATGCACCTGCTCACACAGTGTTGTCAATTAGACAACTAATGGTAAAACATTAAATTCCTACCCCTCCACAATCCCCCTATTCACCTGAACTCTCCCCTCCTGACATTTTGTTTCCTTAAACTCAAAATTACCCTTAAAGGAAGAAGATTTCAGACAGTGGAAGACATAATCACTACTGCAATAAATGACTTGAAGGTGATACCACGGACATCTTTGAATGGTACTTCCAAAAGTGGAAAAGATGGTGGGAGAGGTGAGTTGCTGGGCAAGGGGACTATTTTGAAGGGGATAATACTCAATAAGCTCTAAGCAGAGACATATTATTTATAGACAAACTTTGGAAACTTTATGAACACACCTTGTACAATGATGTTGATCACACATATATTCTTCACAGTGACTAAATCAAGGCTCTCAAAGAATGAACATGTCAACATGCCACTGGTGTGACTGAAAAAGTGGAAGGACAAAAGAGACATTTTCTTCATTTTCACAGAATATGAATATGTTATCATTGACACAGTTAACAAGAGGGGTCAAAGAGTATGTCAGCAAAAAGATATACAGCAAATCCATGTCATCTGCTTATCAGCAAGCTCAAATGCTTTCACATTATCCTTGTGACAGGAATGAATCTGGTGGTACAAGAAAATAGGAATACATGTACGTGGTGCAATCCAAAAGTTCCCGAAACATTAATAAAAACTGTTACGTCTTACCTGGATCTTATTCTGCACCATCACCTTCAAAGTAGTTCCCTTGGGAGCACATACACCGATCCCAGCGTTTCTGCCACTTTTCAAATGCATCCTGGAAGTCTTCCTTTGTTAGGGTGTTTAGTACCTTCTGCATTTCTGCTTGAATTTCCTCAACTGTATCAAATCTTCGCCCCTTCAACTTGATTTTCATCTTGGGGAAGAGAAAGAAGTCGCATGGAGCTAAGTGTGGCGAGTACGGTGGGTGGGGAACAACTGCCATCTTGTTTTTAGCCAAAAATTCCTACACAATGTAAGCTGTATGCGGTCCTACGTTGTCATGGTAGAGTACCCAGTCGTTCGTGCGCCACTTCTCTGGACGTTTTCACCTCATGTCCTCCCTCAAATGCCTTAGAACATCACGAAAGAAGTCTTTATTGACTGTATGACCAGGAGGGACGAACTCCTTATGAAAAATCCCGTCAATATATAAAAAAAAAAACAGATCAACATGGACTTAATGTTGCTCTTGACTTGTCGAGCTTTTTTTGGCCGAGGTGAAGAAGGGCTCTTCCATTGCGACAATTGCTGCTTGCTTTCAGGGTAGTATCCATAAACCCAACTTTCGTCACCAGTGACAACCTTCGAAAGAAAGTCTGGATCCTCTTGAAGCTGTTGCTGAAGTTCCCTGCAGACCTCCAAGCGATGCTGCTTCTGTTCATTTTGCAGCAGTCGTGGCACAAACTTTGCTGCAATCCTCCTCATGTTCAGTTCCTCTGACAAAATTCGTTGACATGTACCATAACTTAGTCCCAAGGTGTTACAGAGGTCTTGGATGGTCAGTCTACGATCTTGCAGAATCAGATCCCTAACTTTCGCGACATTTTCTGGTGTTTTGCCCGTTGACGGCTGTCCCGAATGATCGTCATCATCAGTCAATGTTCGGCCATTTTTAAAACGCTTATACCAATTGTAAGTTTGTGTCTGGCCTAAACTGTTTTCACCAAAAGCTTGTTTCAACATTTGGTGCGTTTCTGCAGTGGTTTTCCCAAGTTTGAAACAAAACTTTATACAGACACGCTGCTCTCTCAGGTCAGCCATCGCAAAATGCAAACTCACAAAAACACAACAATGAAAATATGTTCACCAACAATAAACCCAACCACTCAACTCAACGCCGCTTGCCACACTGATTCAAGAAGGGTGTGTGGGGAGACACGTAGTGGTATTTCGATGTACTCATAACCATTTGCGCGCAAAATTCAAATTTTGGTAACTTTTGCATTGCCCCACGTATTTCAAACAATGATGCTAAGTGCACAGAATGTGAACTGCAGATATTCTGGAAACAAACTGTCACTGTATGATCTCAGACACTATTATTCAACTTCTGTTGTCTTTGCACACTACTCCAACACAGAGACCCAAGTCACCTTAGCAAAAATCTAACTGCCAGCAAAGTGTAAAGGATATGAAAGACAGAAAACATTGAGGCATGTGTTGCAAAGTATTGTCGCGTGTTCGGTGTGTGTCATGTGACAAATAACTTCATGCCATTCTGTATACGAGTATAGCGAAATTATTGCACGTTCGCTCTTACAGATATACAATTCACAATTTCACAAGTACTGCCATCTGCAGTATCACAATTACTTCTACTGCTTCCATTCACTCTGGCAAATGCTAGACTGCAACTGGCTAGTTAATCCCTCTCACTAGTAACTCACTCACTCGTAACTGGCTCAATCCTCACTACTGAATAGTGTTCGCTGCTCCTTATTTAGGCTCGGCACGGACAACACAGAAAACAGTTACGTGATAGGTACCGCTGTTGCGTGACGCTGTGTTTACAGGTTGCCTAGCAACACCGTTGAGAGTTGTTTACTGCTGTGTAGTAACTGTGGTATCCCTTGTTACGTCACTGCGACAATGGTTGCCTGACACAGTTGCTCCTCTGTTATGTCACCGTGGGGGAGGGGGTGTTCACTGAGCATTGCATACTGATGGAAGGAGTGCAGGTATGTGACATCACTCGTGAGACCGCACAGTTCACGTGACCCCTACTTCCCGTTGCACCATCCACGTCACACTGCTCCCTTCTAAAGGTTGTTCGTCCCGAACAGCCTAACGGTACATCCCCATTCCTTTTTCTTCCTGCTGTCAGTTCTCCAACCGCTACATCCGCTCCTTCTCTAAGACCAGCTCTTCTCGAGTGGTTTCCTGCTAACGTGCCAGGAGATCCAGTTGTATCACATTCATCCTTCACTTTCTCTCTTGCTCATTAACTCTCTCTGGGGAGGCCGGTGCTTCTAATTTACCGGCTCCTCCTCTGTGCTCCGCTTCTTTTTTGTTTTGGAGGGGGCCGACCCTTCCACAAGCATGGTCATTCCCCTACCATGGTTGCTAGGCTTGGACTATAAGAAGAGGTGATAAAAGAATTATAGCCTGTAAAATGAAGTTTATGAGAAGAGAAGCTGGATATATGAAATGGGATAATATGAGAAACAAAGGCACTCTGAAGGAACTCAAAATCGAAAAAGTGACAGATTGTAATAAGCATTACCACAAAAATTGGAGAAAATGTGGGTAGAATGAACTCCAGCAGATTCCTGAAAGGAATCTAGGGACAATGACAAAAGGGGAGAAGATCAACAGGGTGCCCAATGAAGAGGTGGAGAGAAAATTCAGACTGTAAGAGGCCTTAAGGCCCAATATTTTAGAGGAGGAGAAGGAAGACAACTATTACCTGGTGCATTATTTCACACAAATACTTAAAAAGAACTTTGGCTCCTGGAGAGAGTTATGTATTTAACCTTTATCCTACGGCCCTTTAAACTTAGGTTGTGGAAGCGGTACGGAATTCTTTAAAGGGCCGCTATTTGAGATTCGTTAAAATTGTAGTCACTTACTAATTTTGCTCCTATTTTTGCTATTTCTGTGATAATCGAACGAAATAAACGCTGTTTTTTTCTCGAAAGAATATAGAATCAGATATTGTAATTTACAGATTGTATAAAACATGTTAAAATTTTTGCACTGACTCCAAAAAGAAATTTGCCAATTTTTTTCCTTCTCTGCGAGAATTCATACGTTTTGGACACCCCTGAATTCAATCTGGTGGATGGAGACACTCGGCAACATTGGAGTTGCTGTGTCTAGTAAGTTTATCTCAGTATAAAGTGACGTACCTCGTTCGGAATGTTGATTTGGACGAGTGAAAATAAGCTCAGTGTCTTCGCTCTCAGCTACAGATCAAGGCTAACATTGTTTATGCAATTGCTTTTGTAGTATCAACAAAGCGATAATAGAGCTTAGTTCCTGGAATTGTGCAGTCGAAGTTTGTCATGGCCTAGTGTCGTGTGGATAATTCTATCAACGGAATAGGTCCGTGATTCTAAGGGTTCATTCGAAGTACTTTGAAGTTTTATCGTAACATGACGTAGTGCAATAGGAATGAAGAGAGTGGGGGAATGAAATGAACTCAGTGCTGCTTTATCGAGCTGGGTTGCACACTTCTTTATACAGTTTCTTTACACTGAGTGCTTGGTTCGTAACTGGAAGTGTTCTGTCTAGCTATCTAATTAGTTCGATCATGGCATCGTCTCATCTCGAAGATTCCGACATATTTCAGCTAATAAATGACACCGATTCAGATTGTGGTACTGACAATTCTGAGAGTGACGTTGAAGGTAGCGAATCAGGAAGTGATATCGATGAAGACCAATCATCTTCGTCGGCAACCTGGGGACCGCCACACCGGCGTGGCACTAGGAGTGTGAATACTTATTCAGGTGGACCTGTGGGGTTAAAAACCCATGAAGCTCCACATGTAAATAAGGATTCCACCCCTTTCAGCGTTTTCATGCTGTATTTCGCAGAGATTATCCATCTGCTGGTGGAAGAGACGAACAGATACTACCACCAGCACATAGAGAGACGTCAAGACGGACCTTCTCCGCGGCCTGACGTGACCGAATCCGAGATGTTTCTGTTTCTAGGAATAATCATTCAGATGGGACATGACATTAGAGACAGACTGACGGACTACTGGTCGACTGCCGAACAATTTGCCACGCCTTTCTACTCTAAGACAATGAAACGCGACCGATTTCTTCACATTCTTCGTTTTCTACATTTTGCAGACAACAGGACAGAAATTGACAGGAATGACGACAGTTATGACCGACTTTGGAAAATTCGGACCATCTTCGACACTCTCAATGACGCATTTGAAAAATATTATAACCCTTCCGAACATTTGGCCATTGACGAAATAATTGTAAAATACAAAGGGAGGGTGATTTTTAAGCAGTACATTCCGAAGAAACACAAACGTTTCGGAATCAAAATTTTCAAAATTTGTGACGCCGCTGGGTATACGTATGACATGAAAGTTTACCTAGGAAAAGACAGGACACGTGCCGACCGAGACGTGACAGCGACACATGCTACAGTTAGGGACCTGTGCAGGCGTATTGAGGGCGTAGGTCACAAACTGTACATGGACAATTTCTTTTCTTCGCCCGACTTGTTTGACGAACTGATGACAAAGAAGATAACGTGCTGTGGGACAGTCAGACCTAATCGGAAGGGCTTGCCTGACGATTTTCGACGAAGACAGTTTCGACTTAGGAAAGGGGACATTCGTGTTAGGGTGAGACAGAACATGACAGCTCTAGTTTGGAAGGACAAACGTGACGTTTACATGCTGACAAATATGCACTCTCCTCCAGCAGAAGGCAATTTCTGTGGTGAGCATGGAAATGCCACAAAACCAGCTGTTGTTGCTGACTACAACAAGCACATGGGTTATGTGGACAAGGCGGACAGGATGGCAAACAGTTATGGCATCTGTCGTCGGACCTGGAAATGGACAAATAAACTATTTTTCCATCTCCTGGATCTGACGATTCTGAACAGTTATATCCTGTTGTCATCCTGTGGCGCGAAATTGTCACACAGAGATTTTCGTCTCGCCCTTGTGCGGAACATGCTGGAGCTCGCTGGAAGGGGTCCACCTCGCCCTCAACGGCCCAGGGGTCGACCCCCGGCTGTTAGATC